AAGGAAAGGCCCAAAACGCTGGAGGCTATTTAGCAAGTGAGAATCTTTCTAAAACATTTTATTTTTTTTCTCTTGAGGAAGGGACCCGGATTGGGAGTTAGAAAAAGGATTACTCTTTAGGGGCATATTTAAGGGGTAGACGAATGTCAGCATTATGGTGATGGCATACAGCATAATTGGTAGAACAAGTAACAGGGATTCCACAACCACCTAGTATTGGCTGCCAGTGTTTTTGCATCCAGATTTTATCCTATATCTAATGGCTTTGATTTGGAATAATGGTGATACCACATTCGGAGCATGCTGAGGGAACCATATCCTTCTCCCTCCCAAGAAAGCCAACACTGGAGCCCTTGGGCTTCTGTTTGCATCTGTAATTAAGGGCAGCTGCAATTGGTGTGTAGCACACAAAGAGAAGCCACCTCAAACCTGTTGTGGACACAGTACGGTCCTGGCAAAAACAGCACATTCAAATAAGGTATTCAAGAGAATTTAATGAAGGAACCATTTTCAAAGGCATAAGCAGGGTTTAGGGAAAGCAGCAAAGGATGGTTGTGTACCCTCAGGCTAGCAACATCAGGAAGCCATAAGCATCTCTAGGTCTGAATGGGCAAAAGAAAAAAAAAATGTGAAAAAAGTTTTGCCAATTCTATCTAAACCTTCTAGACATCGTAGGACTGCCTGCAAATAAGTCATACACATAAGTACCTACTTGAGTTCCTACTGCCCTGTATCAAGTTGGAAAAGAAAAAGAAAAAAAAAAGAGTCTAAGTAATTCCTAGTAAGTTCTGACATTTCTGCATTTCTAAGAGTAAGACAAGCTGCTTATAAAGAAGAAGATCTAAGACAAGGCCCTTCTCTGTACTCAAAGGGCACCTATTCTATACCTCCATTATCACACTTATCATGATGTATTTAGGTAACCTCTTGTTTAACTGTTTCTCCCTCATTAGACTCTGAGCTCCGTTAGGGCAGGGATTGACTTATTCATCTTTGTATCTCTAGCACCTAACAAAGTACTAGGCACAAGGTTGGCCTTCAATCAACACTCATTAAATCAACTACTGGACTTAGGGTCCATTAATTGGCAGCCTAATACCATGGTGGCTAAAATCTGGAATGATCTTTAGCAATTAAACACTAATAAGTTGTATTCAGGACATGGTTTATTTAATACATGGGGCTAAAACATAGCCCCATTCATACTAGCCTACCATCTTTCTCTGTACAGCAGTTTTTTTCCTGTGCTCAGATGTTGTATATGGCCTTTACCTCAATCATAGTCATAAAAAAAAAGTCATCAAAAGAGCCAGAGAGGGGCCGGCTCATGGCTCACTTAGAAGAGTGTGGTGTTGGTAACACCAAAGCCATGGGTTCAGATCCCTATATAGGGATGGCTGGTTAGCTCACTTGGGAGAGTGCAGTGCTAACAACACCAAGTCAAGGGTGAAGATCCCCTTACTGGTCATCTTTGGAAAAAAAAAAAAAGAGCCAGAGGAAGATGGCATTATGCTCCATTTCAGAATGTAATCAAATACACATAATCTCTCAAAATTCTCATTCTTTTTCCAAGGGTTTACCAGATCCACCGAAGGAACTAATAATTTGGGCATGTATATAGAGAAATTAATATTGCACACTGATGTTTCACACACATATATCATCACACATAGCATGTTTAAGGATTACTTCAATAGACATCACCCTCAGTAAAATTATAAAGTAGTTGTGTAACAGAATCACAAAACATCATCATAAAAATAGATACACTGTATGACATTGGAATGGTCATTAACAGAATCTGGAACATATTCACACTAATTATGAATCACTTTCACATAACCCTGTACTTATGAAGTACTTAATTATCTTTTTGTTGGTATAGACAACTCTTACCTGTAGATTCTCTAAAGAAAAAGGAAAAAGCTAATGCCAAACACTCTTCGAGCTACCATGGTTTTAGGCTGCCAATCTCTTCCTGTCAATAGGTGAGTAAAAACCAAATTTAATATTACCCATAAACTCCACTAAAAAGGTCAGTTTGCTATAAAAAACATGTCTTCCAAAAGTCAGAATGAAAAAGTTTTGTATCTCCTGCACCACTGTTTCTCCTTCATTGCTGTTTGTAATGGAGAGTTGACCTTGTTAAATCTAATGTCATCGTATACATCTAACTAAAATAAGTCAGTAAAATAAGTTACTTTCTATTTAGAAAAAGGGAATTTAGGCCTTATCATGATAATACACCGAATTACTTTAAAAGAAACTCCAGTAATATGAAATGAGATAAAATATATGTTTCAAATAGATCAAGTGTCTTTTTCTAAAACAAACAATGAAGAAGTCCCCAAAGCTAGCTTTTTCCAAAACCAAAGACATTTAAAATCATAATCACAATCTTATTTTTTTGAGAGCCATCATACTCCAGCAACTGTTAGGTTAATACAGCAATAAAATTACTCTAACCTCTATAGGACAATTATGTGATGTCTGCGTCATGTTGAAAATATAGGTTACAAAAAGCTATAATTTCTAAAATTGTACTGCATATAGGTTCCTCCATTATACATGAATTAGCAAGAAAAAACTCAGATCTACCACATGGTTTTGTGTTTAATAACATTAGCTTCAGCTACCTCAGAGCAGTATTATAAAAATCTGTCCTAATATCAGTGTTTGACCCATAGAAAAAACATGTTGTTTTATAAATTAACTCCCACTAGGTAGGAAAAGGGGAAGTTGATATATAATTCTGATAGTACACAATATGTGCCAATGATATCCGGTGTATTAAAATTACCAAAAGTAACTTCTGATTGAACATTTTCCTCTCCCTTCACTAAAATATAAATGAAGTTCAAAACACTTCACTGACGCTGAATACAAGTTAAAATATAATTTTTAATTTAACATCTTTATCAAAGGCAACTTTTCATTGCAAATAAATTTAAATATATTTTAATATAATTAGTAACACGTCCTGACATCTGAAAGGATTATTTGTGTTTCCATATAGTGTTCCAAAACTGTGTTCCCCTTCCCTAAACTTAATTCCTAACATTCACTGTGGAGTTACACAGAAGTGTCTTGGTAAACCATAAAGACATTATATAGATTACAAAAAAGAATTTTTTCCTATAAACAAAAAACAAAAAAAAACGGTAACAAAGGATTTATGAGAATTCGACAAAATTGCAAGCACCTAAAAGATCAGGTTGGAAGCAGGAGAGTGCAACACTCAGGAACCAGGGGATTAAAACCAGGGGAATTTCCTGTCACTGAGAAAACATGAAGACTGGCATCCAGGATGCTAAAGCCACAGATCTCCAACCCTGAGAACTTGCGACTACTACTACTACTTTGACTACTGAAATATGAGTAGGACTA